CCTCATAATGGGCACAGCGGGTGTACAGACCCGGGAACTCAGCACAGGGATGGTGGGGGCTCCTCATAATGGGCACAGCGGGTGTACAGACCCAGGAACTCAGCACAGGGATGGTGGGGGCCCCTCATAATGGGCACAGCGGGTGTACAGACCCAGGAACTCAGCACAGGGATGGTGGGGGCCCCTCATACGCCAACAAAGCCAATACCTGCCTCTCTGTGTGTGATGGGGTGCGGAGGGGTGTGGCCGGTCCCTATTGTTGTTGTGATTGGTTGGCTCGGGTCCTGTTCACACTTGTCTGTATTCTTAGAGTGTTAATCGCGCTCATCCCCATGTGACTCATCCTCATCCCTCCTCCGAGCCTTCGTACGTCTCGGGTGTAACATTCGGCTACGTGGTATTTGTGTGTATCTAAGCGCGGATGGAATGAAGCCTCCGTCCTGTGTACCTAACACTACCCAATCCATGGAAATCCCCATAGAATCACCAGCACCCTGCCTCAGTACTTCTCTCAAGGGCCCATCAGCCCTAATACAAGGTGTGGGAGGAGTTATGCAAATATCAATATGCCTTGATTGGCAGATGTCAGTTCGGAGGGGTGGGCGTTCCTAGGCAGGGTGTATTTGCAAGCAGACCGCCCACATGTGATACTGAGCCTCCATGATTGGTAGAACTGAAATCCATTGAAGGGGCGGGGCCAGGGATGGGGAGGGAAAGGGCTAGATGATAATGGATGTCCTCAAGCCAGGAAATGAGGCGGGCTCTATCTCTCTTGCCGGGAAGCTCACAGTGTGCAGTGAGATCAGAGTAAGACATTTCAGTCCAGGAGAGGAGTAGGTACCACTGAGGATTGAAGGGGGGGGGACATACGGCAACATGTCTCAGAAATGCTCATACACCCGGGGCCAAAGTATGTGGAACCCCCCTGAATGATGGGGTTCAGGTGTCTCCAGTGAAGGGTCCGGACTTCATAGACCATTGAGCTCCTCCAGCCTTGTGGTCACAGTTTGGTGAAGAGCCAGCTCCATACAGACACGGTGTGACCAGCTTGGTGGAGGAACTCGAGTGTCTGACCTCAACCCTACTGAGCACCAACTATGACCCGGGTCTACTTGGCCAACATCAGCACCTGACCTCACCAATGTTCTCTTGACTGAGCGAGTTCCCGCCAGAGACCCCAAAATCTCTTCCCAGAAGAATCGAGTCTGTTATGGCCCCAAAGGGGGCAACTCCATAATAATGGCCTTCACTGAGCCCTGACCTCAACCCTACTGACCACCACTGGGGTGAGCTGGAATGCCGATTGTGAGCCAGATCTTCATCCAACATCAGTACCTGATGGCCATGGTTTGGAATGGACCTCCAACAACTCCATGTGAATGGCCATGGGTTGAAATGGGACCTCCAGCAACTCCATGTGAATGGCCATGGAGTAGGGTCAACTCCACCTTAATGGCCATGGTTTGAAATGGACCTCCAACAACTCCATGTGAATGGCCATGGTTTGAAATGGACCTCCAACAACTCCACATTAATGGCCATGGTTTGGAATGGACCTCCAACAACTCCATATTAATGGCCATGGTTTGGAATGGACCTCCAACAACTCCATGTGAATGGCCATGGAGTTGGGTCAACTCCATGTGAATGGCCATGGTTTGAAATGGGACCTCCAGCAACTCCATGTGAATGGCCATGGAGTAGGGTCAACTCCACCTTAATGGCCATGGTTTGAAATGGACCTCCAACAACTCCATGTGAATGGCCATGATTTGGAATGGGACCTCCAACAACTCCATGTGAATGGCCATGGTTTGGAATGGGACCTCCAACAACTCCATAGCAATGGCCATGGTTTGGAATGGGACCTCCAACAACTCCATAGCAATGGCCATGGTTTGGAATGGGATGTTCGTAAGAGGTGTGAAGGTCAGGTGCCCGGAGACCTTTGGCCGTATTGTGTGGGTGTGATCGAGCCCGTACGTTGTCCTTTACGTTCCGGTGAGGGCGCGGGGTCAGCGCGTGGAGAAATCACGGAGGACGGCTTGATGAATAGAAGTTCTGAGATTGATATTGGCTGGCAATCAATTCTTGGCTCTAATAAAGAGGCCGCGGGGTGTTCAGAGGAGGCCGGAAGAGATTTGCAATCTGTATTTGCATTCCGTAGAGTTGGAGAGATAATCATTAACAGGTCATTCAGGAGCCGGAACGTCAAATCCCCTAAACCCTCCACCCCCGCCTCCCCCCTGCTGTGAGCTGCACTCTGCAGATCGTGTCACTGTGCAGGAAGTTGTTGTCACCCTCGGGATGCGTGGGATCAGTCATGATTCCTGTCATAGAGGATTTCCACTCCGTGGGACCTCTGCTGTGTGACTCACATTCATGTTCCTGGTATATTCCTGTTCCGGCATGTTCTCCCCCCGACTGGGGGATGGTACAAAGCCCCAGCTGGGTGAGGAACACAGACATAGCCGCCCCTTGTCTTCTCCATCAATGGCCCAATTGTCTTATAGATCCTGAAACTGCAGAAGATCCATAATCGTGGATCAATGACGCCTCCTACCCCCCTTCCAGAGAAGATCCATCCCTGATCCTCTCCTGTAATCACCTGGATCCTGGACCTCTTCTATAATGTGTTCCTGATCCCCTGGATCCCAGACCTCTTCTATAATGTGTTCCTGATCCCCTGGATCTCAGACCTCTTCTATAATGTGTTCCTGATCCCCTGGATCTCAGACCTCTTCTATAATGTGTTTCTGATCCCCTGGATCTCATTCCTCTTCTATAATGTGTTCCTCATCCCCTGGATCTCATACCTCTTCTATAATGTGTTCCTGATCCCCTGGATCCTGGACCTCTTCTATAATGTGTTCCTGATCCCCTGGATCCCGGATCTCTTCTATAATGTGTTCCTGATCCCCTGGATCCCGGACCTCTTCCATAATGTGTTCCTGATGCCCTGGATCCCAGACCTCTTTTATAATGTGTTCCTCATCCCCTGGATCTCGGACCTCTTCTATAATGTGTTCCTGATCCCCTGGATCTCAGACCTCTTTTATAATGTGTACCTGATCCCCTGGATCTCATACCTCTTCTATAATGTGTTCCTCATCCCCTGGATCTCATACCTCTTCTATAATGTGTTCCTGATCCCCTGGATCCTGGATCTCTTCTATAATGTGTTCCTGATCCCCTGGATCCCGGACCTCTTCTATAATGTGTTCCTGATCCCCTGGATCTCAGACCTCTTTTATAATGTGTACCTGATCCCCTGGATCTCATACCTCTTCTATAATGTGTTCCTCATCCCCTGGATCTCATACCTCTTCTATAATGTGTTCCTGATCTCCTGGATCCCAGACCTCTTCTATAATGTGTTCCCCATCCTCCAGATCCCGGACCATTTCTATAATGTGTTCCTGATCCCCTGGATCTCATACCTCTTTTATAATGTGTTCCTGATCCCCTGGATCCCAGACCTCTTCTATAATGTGTTCCTGATCCCCTGGATGTCATACCTCTTCTTTAATGTGTTCCTGATCCCCTGGATCTCAGACCTCTTCTATAATGTGTTCCTGATCCCTGGATCTCATACCTCTTCTATAATGTGTTCCTGATCCCCTGGATCTCAGACCTCTTCTATAATGTGTTCCTGATCCCCTGGATCTCAGACCTCTTCTATAATGTGTTCTTGATCCCCTGGATCCCAGACCTCTTCTGTAATGTGTTCCTGATCTCCTGGATCCCAGACCTCTTCTATAATGTGTTCCTGATCCCCTGGATCCCAGACCTCTTCTATAATGTGTTTCTGATCCCCTGGATCACCGACCTCTTCTATAATGTGTTCCCCATCCTCCAGATCCCGGACCACAAACCAAAGACAGTATTCAGGAGAAGAGCCTCGTACCAACTGTGAAGCATGGCGGTGGGAATGTTATGGTTTGGGGTTGCTTTGCTGCCTCAGTACCTGGGTGGGTGAGTTGCAGTTATCTATTCTGCATCATAAGATGAGAATATGTCGCCATCTGTGCCAAAGTTGAAGTTGACGGGAAATTGGATCTTTCTTTCTTCCAGTCCGCAGGCATGAGATTTATTCTCTTAGGAATGGTTCCTGGTCGCTGTTTCATAACGGAAGAATATTCTTTGAACAGATCCCACGCCCCATCCCAGCTCTCTGAGGACTGCCTTTATACCCCCTGTGACGACATGGTGATCAGTTTATGAGTTAAATGTGTATTGGTGTTGGGTTATGTGTGAGTGCGTTATGCTGTGTGACCTGGTTATGGAAAGACTATCAGCACCATCCCTCGTTATCTCCCATTGTTCTCTGAGGGAGCTCAGAACAATGACATTCTGGCCAGGCTCCTACTATGGCTGTCTGGAGTTCGTTAGCAGGTGGACACCTGTGGTGTTGAGCAGACCGATGGTCTGGGAGGGGGAGGGGGGATGTGATGGGATTATATTCTGATTTCATCACTTGCTGTATATAAGTTTGTGCAGTTGCTCAATAAATCAGAGTTTGTTTCACCTACACTGAGCCTTGGCTAGTGATTGGGGAAACTGGGAGCTAAGGATCTTCAGGTTCCAATATCTCCTCAGCAAGGAAGAAGACAGCGGCGGGCCCCATCTGAACTCTCCAAAGGCTTGCTATGTAACCCCCATCTACGTGAACACGCCCCAAGTCCTATCCCAGCTCTTTGAGGACTGGCTTTATACCCCCCTCCACATGTAAGGTCCCATCCCAGCTCTCTGAGGGCCGGTTATATACCTCTATCTACATGAACAGGTCCCAGGCCCCCTCCAAACTTCCCCCTTCTAAACCCCATTTACATGAACAGGCTCTGAGCCCCACCACAGCTCTCCAAGGGCTGGCTATATAACCCCCAGGTACATGGATAGGCCCCAAGCTGCATCCCAGCTCTCCGAGGGCTGGCTATATACCCCCAGGTACATGGATAGGCCCCAAGCTGCATCCCAGCTCTCCGAGGGCTGGCTATATACCCCCAGGTACATGGATAGGCCCCAAGCTGCATCCCAGCTCTCCGAGGGCTGGCTATATACCCCCATCTACATGAACATGCTCCAAGTCCCATCCCAGCTCTCTGAGGACTGGCCTTATAAACCCCATCTACATGAACAGGCCCCATTTGCACTCTCCAAGGGCCGGCTATATATCCCCATCTACATAAACAGGTCCCACACCCTTTCCAAGCTCTCTGAGGGCTGGTCTTATGAACTCCATCTACATGTAAAGGCCCCAGGACCCATCCTAGCTCTCTGGGGGCCGGCTATATACCCCTATCTACATAAACAGGTCCCACACCCCTTCCAAGCTCTTTTAGGACTGGCCTTATGAACCCGATCTACATGAACAGGCCCCGGGCCCCATTTGAACTCTTCAAGGGCTGGCTATGTAACCACCATGTACATGGATAGGCCACGAGCTGCATTCCAGCTCTTCGAGGGCTGGCTATATACCCCCATCTACATGAACGGATCCCAGACCCCCTCTGAGCTGTCAGAGACCTGGCTTTATAAACCCCATCTACATGTAAAGACCCCTGGGACCCATCCTAGCTCTCTAAGGCCCGGCTATATAACCCCTATCTATATGAACAGGCCTTGGGCCCCATTCCAGCTCCCTAAGGGCCCGGCTATATAACCCCTATCTATATGAACAGGCCTTGGGCCCCATTCCAGCTCCCTAGGGGCCCGGCTATGTAACCCCCATGTACAGGAAGCCGTCTGATTTATTTCTTGCGTTGTTGGACTTGTCAGGCGCACACATGGCATCTCACCCGGGATGCAGTGCACACTGGGAAACGCGTTCCTCTTCCAAACAGCTGCGCGCAGATGGCGGTTCTCTGATTTTCTTTGTTTTGTAGAATTCTTAAAGTGAACTCGTCTGAAATCGGGGAAATGTAAAGGGAACAAGTGTCGTGGAATCCACCAGCAGGAACCACGTCCTGTGAACACTGACCTGCAGATCCCGGGACGTACTCAGCTGAAGGTATATGGGAGTGTGGTGGACTCTCTGACCTTTCATTACTCCAGTGGTGGGATGTCTCTGCCGTAGTCCTGGTTCTGTTCCCGCCCACCTTTGGGTTTTCCCGCCCACGATAAGAAGGTTCTCACAGAATCCCATCCCTCGTATTAGTTCTCCATAATGTTCAGGTCCAGCACACAGGGTGGACCTTTCACAGCGGCTGAAGCAGCACGGGAACTCTCCAGCCCAGGACTAGTATGTGGCCTGTCAGTGAAGATCTTCTTCCATCGCAGCCTTCGCACGCAGGTGTCTTACTGTGTGACAGAGCCCAGGACTGACCTCCAGTCTGATATCGGACAACGCTGGGGACGTGGAGGTGGCAGGTTTGGGGTGTTTGGATGCACACAGTCATGGCTGCCTAGAAGTTATCTTTCAGCATTCCAGCAATTTGTCCCAGAAATGTGACGGTTCCACACAAAGATGACCAGATGGAGGCTCAGTGAAGGATCTCTGTGTGTATGAGCTGCTTGTAAACATTCCTCTACCCCGGGGCCGTCTGATGTGGAGCTGCGAGGCTCAGCCGGCTCTCTGAGGTCATGTGTGCCTGATGAGAGATGCTTCAGAAGGTATTTTTTACTGGAAGAGAGATCCAGGAGAAGACAGTCAGTCAGAGATTCCTTCATACAGATCTCCAGGAGGAGACATTACTCAGAGATTCCTCCAGACAGCCTCTGACCTGTGTGATAGATCTCCAGGAGAAGACATCGGTCAGGCTGGTGCCCAGAGATTCCTCCAGACAGCCTCTGACCTGTGTGATAGATCTCCAGGAGAAGACATCACTGAGGCTGGTGCCCAGAGATTCCTCCATACAACCTCTGACCTGTGTGATAAATCTCCAGGAGAAGACATCACTGAGGCTGGTGCCCAGAGATTCCTCCATACAACCTCTGACCTGTGTGATATATCTCCAGGAGGAGACATCAGTGAGGCTGGTGCCCAGAGATTCCTTCATACAACCTCTGACCTGTGTGATATATCTCCAGGAGACATCAGTGAGGCTGGTGCCCAGAGATTCCTTCATACAACCTCTCATCTGATCTGTGTGATGGGTGAGGACTTCCCATAGACTGGTCAGGGTGAGGAATCCCCTGAGCTCTGTAGTTGGCTCCATAAACCTGCCATACGTATATATGGACAATGATGGCCCACTGAGGGCTCCAAGATGTGCTGAGGAGACATCCTCCTCCAAATTGGCCATTGTCGCCGATGGTGCCGGACACTGATGGCCCAGTGACTGTGCTGACCCCAGTGCCCTATCACTGCCACCAGAGGAAGCACACTGTCACTGCAAGCAGAGTCCCGCTCTTGTGTCCACTGCCAGGCACGAGGAGGAGTGCAGGAATCTCAACTGGAAGTCCTTTTCTGTGAGCTCCAGGTGCCTCTTCTAGATGCTCATGCTGAGAACGAAACCTTTTACTAAGGGTCCCACCCACCGCCATACTCCACCCACCGCCATACTCCACCCACCTCCATACTCCACCCACCTCCATACTCCACCCACCTCCATACTCCACCCACCGCCATACTCCT